TGCTGGGTCATGCGGTAACTCTACCCTTAACTTTTGGAGAAGCAGCCAAACTATGTTCCACAATGGCCGCACCACTTTACTTTTCTGTTCCCACCAGGAAGGTGTGCTTTTTCCACGATTGCCAATATTGTTATTTTCTCTTTTCTTTTCTTTTTTTAAAGATTTTACTTATTTATTTGAGAGAGAGAGTGAGAGAGAGAAAGAGCACAAGAGGGGGGAGCAGGAGAGGGAGAAGCAGACTCCCCGCCGAGCAGGGAGCCCGATGCGGGACTCGATTCCGGGACTCCAGGATCATGACCTGAGCCGAAGGCAGTCGCCCAACCAACTGAGCCACCCAGGTGCCCTCTCTTTTCTTTTCACAAATGATAACATCTTAGTGGGTGTGAAATCATATCTCCTTGTGGTTTTGATTTGCATTTCCCTGATGACTAATGATGTTCAGCATCTTTCCATGTGTTTCTTGGTCATGTATGTGTTTCTTTGGAGGAAAGTCTATGCAGAGTACCTTGGCCATATTCTCATTAGGTTGTTGGTCATTTTGTTGTTGAGTTTAAGAGTTCTTTTCTTTTTGTATTCTGGATGATAGACCCTTATCAGATATATGATTTGCAAATATTTTCTCCCATTGTATAAGCTGTCTTTTCACTATCTTGATGAATGTCCTTTGATGCAAAAGTGTTCTAAATTTTGATGAAGTCTGATTTATCTATTTTTTCTTATGTTGCTTGTGCTTTGGATGTCATATCTAAGACCTCATTGAAAAGCTCAAGGCTACAAAGATTTATATCTATGTTTCTTTTAAGAGTTTTACAGCCTTAAAACTTTAAAAGTTTTAAGGTCTTTGATCCATTGAGCTGGTTTTTGTAGATGATGTTAGGGTATGAATCCAACTTCATTCTTTTACATGCAGAAATCCAGTTGTCCCAGTACCATTTGCTAAAAAAATGACTTTTTTCTCCATCCAGTAGTATTGGCATCCTTGTTGAAAATCAAATGACTGTAGATGTAAGGGTCTATTTCTCTATCAATTCTATTCCATTGATCTCTCTGTCTATCCCTATGCCAGTACCACACAGTCTTGATTACTGAAGCTTGGTAGTTAAGTTTTGAAATTGAAGTGTGAGTCTTCCAATTTTGTTCTTTTCCAACACTGTTTTAGCTATTCTGGGTCCCTTAAACTCCCATATATATTTTAAGATCAGCTTTTCAATGTCCACAAAATAGGCAGCTGGAATCTTGATAGGATTGCATTGAATCTGTAGATAATTTGGGGAGCAACACCACGTCAACAGTAATAAGTCTTCTAATCCATGAACATGGAATGTCTTTTCATTCATTTGGGTCTTCTTCAATTCCCACCAACAATACTTTGTACTTTTCAATGTATAAGTCTTTCACTTATTTGGTGAAATTTATTCTTAAGTATCTTACTCTTTTTTTTTTTTAATTTAAATTGGTATAGCCACTCTGGAAAATAGTATGGAGGTTTCTCAAGAAGTTAAAAATAGAGCTACCTTAAGTATCTTATTCTTTTTGATGCTATTTTAAACAGATTTTTTCCCTTAATTTTCTTTTCAGATTGTTCATTGCTAGGGTATAGAAATACAACTGATTTTTTTTTGTATATTGGTCTTTTATCCTGTAAACTTGCTGATCTTGATTTTAGCTTTATTAGTAATTTTTGTGGATTCTTTAGAGTTTTCTATATATAAGATCATATCACCCACAAATACAGTTTTACTTCTTCCTTTCCAACCTCTTATTTCATTTTCTTGCCTAACTATCCTGGGAAGAATCTCCTGTACAAGGTTGGACAGAAGTGGTGAAAGCAGTCATCCTTGTCTTGATCCTGATCTTAGGGTGAAAGCTTTCAGTCTTTTACCAGCATGATGCTAGCTCTGGGTTTTCACGGATGCCCTTTATCAGGTTGAGAATGTATCCTTCTATTCTTGGTTTGTTTATGGTTTTCCATCACAAAATGATGTTGAATTCTGTCAAATGCTTTTTCTGTATCAAGAGTCACATGGTTATTTTTCCCTCTATTCTATTAACATGGTGTGTTATATTGACGGATTCTTGTATATTGAACAACAAACCACACATTCCTGGGATCAACTCCACTAGGTTTCAATGTATAAATCTTTCTATGAACTGGTAGATTTGGTTTGCTAATGTTTTGTCAAGGATTTTTATGTCTAATTCATAAGGGATGATGTTGGTTTATAGTTTCCTTTTCTTGTGATATCTTTGTCTGGTTTTTGTTGTCAGGGTAATACTGGCCTCATAGAATTTGGAAGTGTTCCCTCCCCTTCTATATTTTAGAAGAGTTTGTGAAGGATTGGTGTTAATTCTTTAAATATTTGGTATGAGTCACCAGTGAAGCCATCTGGTCTTCGGTTTTTCTTTGTGGGAAGTTGTTTTTTTTTTTTTTTTTTTTTAATTAATCCAATCTCTTTACTTTGTATAGGTCTAGCGAGATGTTCTATTTACTCTCGAGTCAGTTTTGGTGGTTTGTGTCTTTCTAGGACATTGTCCATTTCATCTTGGATATCTTCATTTGTTGGCATAAAATTGTTCAGAATATTCCCTTGTAATCATTTTTCCCCTGTCAGGTTGATAGTCCCCTCTTTCATTCCTGATTTCAGTAACTTGAATCCTTTCTTCTTTTTCCTTGTCAAAACCTAGTTAACAAACCTAACTTTGTCGATCCTTTCAAAAAACCAACTTTTGGCTTCATTGATTTCCCTCTATCATTTTTCTCTTCTCTGCACAATTTTTTTTTATAATTTCCTGTGATTCTATGATGACTTCCAAATAAAAAGTACAAAAAATATACTGTACATTTACATGCTGGGGATATAGGATGGCTAGGACAGACAAGAACGTGTAGCTTAATGGAGGGGAGACAGATAATGATCAAGCAACAAGATCATTTCTTAATGTGAGAAGTGTCCTGAAGAAAATGACATTTTCTGGGGTGGCATGAGACAGGACTCCTCCACACTGTTGTCAGGGAAGGGCTTGCTGAGGAAGTGGTATTTGGGCCGAAATCTGAGGAGAAGGCAGATAGCTACATGAAACTCTGGAGGACAGATGTTCTGGGCAGAGCCCAGAGGTGAGATGAGCTTGGAGTGTCCGAGCAGCAGAAGGAAGCCCCATGGCTGCTGGAGCCTGGTGCGTGAGGCAGGGGGTGTGAGAGGCAGGCAGAGAGGGAGTTGGAGGCCCGTTCACAGCTTCCCAGGCCATAGGGGGCATGTGATTTTATTTCTAAGTGTACTGGGAAGTCATGGCCAGGGTTTTAAGCAGGGGAGGGGTGCAGGCTGACATTTGTAAAAGATCACTTTGGATCCAGAATAGGAAATGGAGCGGAAGGGGCTGGAAGAGAAGATAATGAGACAGGAGGCCATTAAGGGAACGGCGCACTGATCAGACCTGGGGGCCACCAGGGAAATGGAGAGAAGGGGCCAGACTCAGGCTCCATTTGGGAGGAAGAATCAGCAGGACTTGCTGGGGTCCTGGAAGGTGGCAGGAAGGGGTTAGGGAAGTCCAGAAAGACTCCTAGGAGATGGGCTTGGCAGCAGAGCGGACCACAATGCCAGTGACTGGGCACAGGAGTATTGCAGGAGGGAGAGATGTGGGTGGGGCCAGGGAATGAACACTTAGGATTTACATCTCTGAAGTCGGAGGTGTCCAGTAGGCATCCGAGGAGAGATGTCGAGCAGGAAGTGGCAGGATTTCAAGTCAGGAACTCAGAGAAGCAGGCGGGTCTTGGTGTATCCATTTGGAATCATCTTGAAGCCATGGGCCTGGGCAAGGCCAATAAGAGAGATGGTGTGGATGCAGATGGGAGGAGCGTTTGCACCCAGCACGGGGCACTCCCACATCTTCCAGCAGCCCCCGTTCTCTTCCGCTGAAGCGACTTCTCTTTCAAACCCAGACTCCACTTCCAGATACCTCCTGGTGAGATTGCAGCCAAGCTCCCTTACTCCATGGCCGTGTGGCTGGGGCAAGTCACCTGTCCTCCCTGAGACGTGGTTTCTCATTCAGCAGATGTGGAGAGGAACTCAAGGTTCCTGTGAGGATCACCTGAGGGATGTCTGCAGCCCTGGCCTGTGTGCTGTGGGTCTTTAATCAACCCCAATAAGACTGGGTGGTCCTGAGAGGCAGTTATGTGCTGGCGGTCCCAGGCCCAGTAAACAGGATGACCCTCGGGGAGACCCCGTGCCAGGGCGGCAGGGGGAATCCAGCCCGCATGCGGCTGGGCCCAGAGATCCGGCAGCCCAGGGGGAGACGGCCACCTCTTGTCCCAACCTCGGGGCCCCAAATTTAAAACCCCGACCCCACGAGAACCACGGGCCCCATTCCTCCCTGCTTCATGTGGCAAAGCTCACCAGCCTCTGCTGAACAGAGGAAAAGGAAAAATCATCCTGAGAATCAGCCCCGATCAAATCCAATGATGCTTTTTATTGCCCTCGTAGGCTCTGTTCTGTATACAGCGGGCTTCCAGAATGTCACTGCTCTGGACAAGGGTGGGGTGGGGTGGTGAGGGCCGCTCTAAGCCCCTGCAGCACACATGGGCGCCTACAGACTCGAAGCAGGAAGCAGAGCAGGAAATGCAAGGCCAGAGCCTCCCAGCGGCCATGACCTATGGGACCTGTTTCTTTCAAGGTCACAGAGCTGTTGATCTCAGAGGGCTATCACTACCCAGTCTAGCCCTGTGAACAGGTGGTGTTTCTCAGCTATCTAGCATCTCCCCTGCCTTCCTTTCGGTAACAACGCTGAACTTCTCCAGGGCGAATTCTCTCCCTGCACTGCTGCGGCATCTCGGTGTAATCGGCATTAAGGTGCCCACCTTCCTAGCCAGGCTGGCCAGCAGCCCTTCCTCTCCTGGGACGGTGGGTCTCCAGCAGAGCGACAGGATGGCAAACCAACGAACCACCACTGCCTCCCACCCCCCCAATGAACCACCACTGCCCCCCACTCCCCAAAAAAGACCACGCCCTTGGTGCCCATGAATCCTGGATGCCACCTAGACCCCCAACATGACCGTGGGGGCTGCCCCTTCTGGCCTGGGGGGCAGTCAACTTACCAGCTACCCAAAGACTTGCAACAAAGTTCTTTTGTTAGAAATTTGTGGAAGTGAGCCAGACTCCCGTTTCTTTTGCTGACAAACCAGAATCCTATGGACTAACCCCGCCCTCCAGTTCTATTTTACAGGAGGCAGAGAAGCTAATTCTCAGAGAAGGCAGGTAAGTTGCTGAAGTCTACAGAGTCAAGACCAGAACGTGGGTCTCTAGAACTGAGGATTTCAAAACTCCCCTTTCTTGTTTCCTCGTCTTTAAATGGGAACAATATCTACTTCTTAATCTAATGACAATAACAAATACAATAAGAACTGATGTTTTGGGAGCCCTTTGGAAGAGCCAGGCATGGTGCTAAGCTTTTACAGTTACGTTGGCAGCATTGCCTATCATGGGCAGAGAAAATGCATCAAAATACGAGGGCAAGTCTCACTCCGGTACCGCCTCCACTTACAGCTAAGTGCCTGTTGACCAGGTGGCCCAGGTCCCCGGGTGTGTCTGTGGTCTGGATATCCACGTCATGGGGTGACACATAAAGCTTTGTGTTATGCAGGTCAAAGAACTCCACTTCCGTGAGCCCCACCCAGGACGCGTGGCCCCAGTTGGACAGGATTTCCAAGGTCACGTAGACGGCATCTTTGATGTCTCTGCCTTTTGTTCTCGATTTGGCCTTAATGAAGAGAAAAAGAATGCCAAAGGATCAAAACAGGACAGATAGGCTGGATTCGGCTTACCACTAAGCAACAAGTTATTTTAGCCACTCAGGGCCTCAATTTCCCCATCCGTACAAGGAGGGTAAGAATAGCACCCATTACATATGGTTATTACCAAGATTAAAAGAGCTCCTATTTGTAAAGCACTTAAAACATAGTTACTGGGGGTGCCTGGGTGGCTCAATTGGTTAAGCGTCTGTCTTTGGCCCAGGTCATGATCCCAGGGTTCTGGGATCGAGCCCCGCATCGGGCTCCCTGCTCAGTGGGTAGCCTGCTTCTCCCTCTCCCTCTGCCCCCCCACCGGCTTGTGCTCTCTCTCACACTCTCTCAAATAAATAAAATCTTAAAAAAAACCACATAGTTACTGTGAAACCCTGGCAGTTAGTATTTTCCGTGAGTCTGCAAATCACAAAAAATGTCTAAAAGGCATCAGATTCTGCCTGAACGTGTTCTTCTCTCCCCCATTCCCGAGCGTTCATGAATTGGGGAAGGTATTACGGGCTAAATTATGTCCCCCCAAAATTCAGATGCTAACACCCTAACCCCAGTGCCTCAGAATGTAACTGTACTTGGAGACAGGGCCTTTAAAGAGGTAACTAAGGTAAAAGGAGGCCATGAGGGTGGGCCCAAATCCAGTCTGACCCATGTCCTTACAAAAAGGGGAGAGCTGTTCACGAGACACACCAGGGTTGCGCATGCTCAGAGAAAGACCGCGTGAGGACACAGCCGGAGCACGGCCATCTGCAAGGCAGGAGGAGAGGCCTTGGCAGAAACCACACCTGCCAACACCTTGATCTTGGACTCCAGCCCGCAGAACTGTGAGAAAATACATCTCTGTGGCTTAGGTCACCCCATCTGCAGTGCGTGGTTATGGCCGCCCTAGCAAATGAATTCGGTCAGTAACATAGGAGCCTGGCCAAGCCACCTGACGTTCCTCAGCCTGGTTGGGAAACAGGACATGATGACACCATCTTGCTGGCAATCCTGTCACGGAGACTAAGGCAGGTACAGACACCGGGGAAGGCCCTGTCACGCGTCCTGGCCCCCACATGCGCTCCCTAAGGGTCCACTTCCAGCCATTTCTCCCCTCGCTGATTTGAGTGCTGCCTCCTTCGCGGGTAGGCTGCCTGGTCCCAGGCTGCGTGAATGCCATCAATAAACAGCCACGCTGCAGAATGGCCTCCTGAGGCCCCTTCTGGCCCCGACTGCAGTGCTGGTCACCACGGATCAGTCGCTCATAAAATGGTGCATTCCCCGCGTGCACATGCCCTCTGTTAATTAGCACTGGTAATCGGCAACGGTTCTGTGAGCAGGGAGTTGAGCAAATGAACAGCAACTGTTCCCTACTTATTTTTTTAATTAATAGCCAGCGAGACGTGCTATCGCTCGCCGCATGTGTTTGGAAACGCCTTGATTGCCACGCGATGGGGACAGGGACGGGGAGGGGGGCAGGGAGGTCAGCTTCCAGCTCCCAGAAGGAACACAGGGCCGGCTTTTATTAGCAGAGCCCGCTGCATCCTTCTCCTCTGCCGCGGGGCTGCGTGGGGCCCTGGCCAGGCCCTGTCTGCTCCCCTGGGCCTGAGTCCCAGGTGTGCAGGACAGGGAGGACCCTCAACCCCCGTGATTGGGAGGTAGATGAGCTGGGTCTGGTGAGGGGTGCTGCACTGCCAGGTGAGGGGGGCGGGAGGCAGGAGGAGGCGGCACCGTTCACCTTGGCTGGCGACAGCAGGGAGGAGGCCCAGATGGGCGGCGAGCTGCCTCGCAGAGGGGCTGCTGGATCTCACATCCCATGCAATCTAAAACGTGTGAAGTCCTGCAGCGGGGCTTGGAAATGAAGAAGCTGAAGGGTCTGTTAGCTAAGGAAGTGTCACAACTTGCCAGTGTTGCGATTCGATGGCTTCGCCCACTTCTGAATCGCTTGCTTTAGGATCCCTCGTGGGGGTCCAAGGTAAACGCTGGTTGGGCAGCTCCTGGTCTCTGGCGTTCACGGCCCCCTCCCCCTCTCTCACCAAGAACGTCTGATTTTCCTGTCGGGAAGTCACCCCTTCTCTTTCCTCAGCCACGAGGGTGGTCCTAGAGGGGGATGGGCCCCTTCCCACCCTGAGGAGGAGCCTGGCTGGTCCAATGAAGCAGTGTGGCTGGTCCCCTGAGCCACCAGGAGGGGGTGGCGTGTGATGGGCATGTGACCCACTCTCAGGTCTGTGCGTGGAGGAAATGCTCTTCTCTCCTGACTGTAGGGCCTGAGGGGATGAGGTCAAGAGGTGGGAACCACTCGAGCTACTGAGGGGTCTCAGGGAGACAGCAGAGCCGGGCCTGGGGGCTGAGGTGGGGACAGAGCTGAGATGGTGGAGACAACAGCGTGAGCTGCTGGATTAAGCCCTACCTGATCCCCACCGTGGTATTTATTACAAGAGTCTATCATTTCCTTCCCTTCGTTGGATAATTCAGTTTGTCCTGGGTTTTCTGTTTGCTATAAGGAGACTCGATCAATCCAGGCTCTTTTTAATGTGGCTCAAGTTTTATCACACTTAGGATTTTCATGGCTAAGAAAGCAACTGTTCCATGCAGGGGGCATGGGGCGGGGGTACAGCTTTGAATTTTCTCGATTTTTCTAGATGTCAAACTTCCAACTGATAATTTGCTGGCTCCTCCTTGCTGTGTGCCAGGCACTGAGGTGCCCACCCTCACAAAACTCTTCTGTTCTATCCTCATGGCAGCCCATGGTTGTGGATTAATTACCCAGTGTGACAGCCACACACTCCCAGGATCAGAGAGCTTAAGAGGTTGTCTAAGGTCATGTACCCTCTAAATGATGGCACCAGACCTGGAGCCAGAACTCCGGTCTAGGCTGGCGTGGGGGTCTTTCTGCTGTCATGGGAGTTTTATGTGTGGCTCTGGGAGGGCTTACATGGCCGATCGAGCGCCTTGGGCAAAGGAAGGGCTGAGAAGGATGTGCCGGACACACACCTTCCAACACAAAAGAAATGCGAATTCCCGTTACCCTTCCACCTGGAGGCCACCTTGGCCTTTTGGTTCACGGCTCTGCTACATCGACATGTCACATGGCTGCGGTTTTGCACAGTCCCACTATCGCACTGGACTCAGTGGAGATTAACATCACCTTTTGCAGTTAACTCTATATCCTCGCCATTTTCATCCTGCATAATCGCCATTATGATAATTCCCCTCTTTTTATACCACTGCATTGTGCTGATATGTCAGGCCTTCCCGATGAACTCCGTTATCATGAGACATTCATGTTCTTTCTGGTTCCTTTTTTCTTCCTCATTCTTCCCTACTTCCAATCATTCTGCAACAGACATTGTTGTGCCTGTAGCTTTTGCTTTCTGTTGAGTGATTTCCTTAGGGTGAGGAAGCAGGATCGCTGGGCTGGGAGGACAGAAGTATTTCTAAGGCTCTTCCTGAGCCTGGCCTTTCTGCTTTTCGAGAGAGTCCCACCCATTTACATTGCTGCCAGCAAGATAAGCCTGCTGTGACCTTGCCAGTCCTAGAGGTTATATCAAAAAGAATCTGGGAGGGGCGCCGGGGTGGCTCAGTCGGCTAAGCGTCTGCCTTCAGCTCAGGTCATGATCCCAGCGTCCTGGGATTCAGTTCTGCATCAGGCTCCTTGCTCAGCGGGGAGCCTGCTTCTCCCGCTGCCTGACGCTCCCCCTGCTTGTGCTTTCTCTCTTTCTCTCTGACAAATAAATAGTAACATCTTCAAAAAAAATTCTGGAGCTCAGATATCAAGTGGGACATTAAGTTTGTTCCAATCTGCATTTCGTGATGACCAGCGATGCTGGACGTTTTCCTCTGGGCTCACATGCTATTTATAATGCCTCTTGTGTGGACAGGCTTCTCTCCGCTGCTACCCCTGACCCCACCCCAGGCCTGTCCGGGCGCTGGGCGGGAGAGGATGGAGACTTGGGCAGAGAATGTTCAGTTTACGGCTGTCAACCCTCCCCACCACACAGAGATCGTGGCACCGAGGGGCCCCTCCTCCCTCGGCTTTCAGGCGAGATGCCAGTTGCATCTAGAAATCCCTGTAAGTCAACATTCTCACCTCTGGGTCTGGCATGGGCTCCTTCATTGGTGAAGCAAGCGTGCTGAGCTGGGCAGAGTCGCTTTCGATGGCCTGGAGCACTTTCAGAAGCCTTTGCTGCTGCCTGAAAGGGGATTTTGGTTTAGCGAACGGGCAGTGACAGAGGGTTCACACCAGAGAGCAGGCCCATCAAGGCCACCGCACTGACTTTTCTAGTTCTGAAGAAGTCGCGGTTTGAGAAGAGAGTACCCGCCCCGCATACAGCTCAAAGGCACACACAGGCTGTCCCCCCCTCCTTTATAATAACTGGACAACTAGTGATGAAAGAGGAGCCAAGCAGAGGAAACTGTTTGGGGCAAGATGGCGGCAGACCGGTAAGATGGCTAAGATGGCGAAGAGGGTGGCAGAGTACGGCCTGCAGAGCCTGCAAGCTGAGAATGGCTTTTACCTTTCGAAGGGTTGTTAAAACAAACCAACCAACAGGTAAAATGAAAAGCCTGAAGTATTCGCTATCCGGCCCTTTGCTAAACACCTCTGCTACTCCTGGCCTAGGGACCTACTCCGCGCCTCCTGTTTCTGGGGTTTGCAAACGCACCCCATATGTGCTGTTTAAGGCAGAGTACCCTCAAGAGCCCAGAGCACCATGGATCTTGAGGATGAAGAAAGAAGCATCGGGTGATGTGTGTGCTGCCCGTGAACAGAACCGTATCAGACGTAAGATATCCTCAGGCACCAGGCCTTTCCTGAGTAGAGGAACCCGTGGGTTCTTACTCATGGCCGCCGGGGTACACAGCCCTGGTTTCCAGTCTGGAGTCTGCCGACTCTTAGAGGGACGCCTAGCACTGAAAAAGCGCGCGGTCCCAGGCCAGGGCCACCGCTCAGTGCCCGGCATGCCCTCTCGCCCTGCAGAGACCACGGTGCCCAGCACATGTGTGCCAACACATGCTTGTAACTATTGGCTCCACCTGGTGCATCTTTCCGAAGATCAACTTTGCCTCAAGACTAGAGGGGAGACTGTTTCGAAGAGAAGACCTGACAGTTCCAGTTGCTCCTCCCACACGTTAATGGAACCGAAAGCGGCGTTTGAACAAACTTAGCAGAAAACAGAGGTGGAAAGGACACTGCTTTGGGCCACTCTCCCCCTCTCCACGACCCCCCCCACCGCCGACAGCGAGTTCACCACTGTCTGCTGCACGGGGTCCTCTGGTGGAAGTCCCTGAGGAGGGGGCGGGGGGATGAAGTCTTACACAGGGTGGATGGAACCGAACCAGCAAAGACACATCGGGTAGAAAGACATCGAGTCAGTTCGGCGCTTTAGGGCCAGAGGGGGAGGGAGGGTACGGGCTAAGGGAGCAGCTTTACGCGGCCTGGGATAACATAGGAGGAGCAAAGAGGAACCTCGGTTAAGGAGATCCTCATGGCTGCATTGCTATGGGGTTCTGGTTTTGTGTTGCAAGCCGCCTCGGTAGGTACCTGCTCCCCAAAAGGCCAATTCTGTCAATGGCTTCGCTGACGGCTCGAGCTCCCCCTGCTGCCCCGGACGGCTCCTGCGGGCTGGCCGTGCTGGTTGTGCTGGTGGCCGCGAGGGTAGGAAGCTGTGGAGGATGGAAACGCTTATTAAGCAGGAAGAGGAAACAGCAATGAGAGGGACAGAGAGGCTGATGAGATCCAGGATCCCCCACCATGTCTCTGCAAGGGGACAGATATCTCCGTTTCTTATGATCCAGGAGGTGCCAGCGATGGATCTCTTCGATCAGCTACTGAAAAATCTCTCCCCCCCCTTGGTCACACCCCTGCTCTGTTTGCTACAAAGTAACCAGGCTCCATGGAAGGATTCCAGTGACATCCTTAGGGCCCTTTCATTTTTAATCCTCCTCCTTTGACATTTATCATCTAAACTAGAAATGTGCTCTGCTCTCTATCTGCAAATGGTTTTAGTCATTGGAAGCTCTGCGGGTCTGGGGTCAGGTCATCCAGAAAACGCGCTTATGTGGTGGGCAGTACCGCAGACTGATCAGAAATGTCAGCTGGCGACAGAAAAAACAGAACAAGCAGGTGGAACACATAAAGGAAACCATGACGGTGCTCTGGGGCACTCTCTCCTCCCCTCCCTGCCTCCTCTCCCTTCCGCACTGTCTGTCCCCTACCCTTTGGTGCCCCCCATCCCCACCACCAGTCAGGCTTCTTTCTGCTCCTGGATCAGGCTGGGCTCGCTCCCACTTCAGAGCACTCCCCTGTCCCTTCTACTTGCTGTTCCGTGTTGCTGGCTGGTTCCCTAAGACACAGGGCTCGGCTCAAATGGGACCCTCCAAGGGGCTTCCTCGGACCACCCTTTTAGAGGGTAGCCACCATCTACAATCTTTTACTGTCATCTCTCTCTGAAATCATCTGCTGTATTTATGGCTTTATTTGCTTGCTGTTTGCAAGCTCCCTGAGGACAGGGGCTAATCTGATCTGATTTAGCCACCTCTGTATTCTGAGCACATGGCCCAGACCTGTGTACAATGTAACAAAGACGTTTCTGGGCATTGTATTCGTTCATGTCTGAACTCGTTGGGGCTGTCTTTGCTGAGAGAGGCCTAACTGACCTAGGTAGGTCATAATTTATTTATTCAGGATCCTAAAATCTGTTTTTGTGCTGCCTTGTCAGGAAACAGAAATGTAACAAGGAATTGGAGTCCCCAGGCCTCGGTGAGTTCTGGCTTCCACTCAGAACCTTGGGCAAGTTATTCCAGCCCGGGGTTTCCCCATCCGTGAAATGGGCAGAATGACACCATGCTTGGGGAGCACAGGGAGGGCCTGCTGGGATCACAGCGGGGAAGCCCTCTGGAGGCTCCTGGGTGCCGTTAGGGACAGTGGTTATAGGGCTTTGTTGTTCTGCTCAAGCCTTCACCCACCTCAGGGCTCTCCTCCTTCTCCTTCAGTAGACTGGTCCACGATTTTGCTGCTGGTCCCTCCACGTCCTGGAATGATGAAATCAGATGATCTGAGGTCAGAATAAAGCCATCCACTATATACTCTGCACGGACAGATGAGGGCACAGAGGCGCGGGGACTGTCATGAGATCCCATAGACACAAACGTCAGGGGCAAAGGACTGAGCTCCAAGAAGACAGACAACAGGTACCGCTCGATGAATGCCCCGAAGGGCAGCCTGTGCTAGAGCCTGGGGAGCAGCTGGTGGTGTGGGATGTGTACCCTGAGGCATGTCCACCCTCCAGCTCCCGAAGGGTCTCTTCTCCACCCCGCCACGTACCCTCCTGCTTCTTGTGCAAAGCTGAAGGCGGTGGACACAAACTCAAACACTTGCCAGGCCAGGGAAGTTTCTGGAACAGGTGCAGTGGGGCACAGCAGGACAACAGGGACCGCTAAGGGCTGCGGAGGCCCGAGGGACTCGTGCTCTGGGGAATGAGGTCTTTCCAGAGCAGCCAGGGCTGTGGTCTACTCCATTCTTTCTCTGACCCACCAGTTTGCAGCCCCTGGTCTAAGGTATCCAGGGCCTGCAGGGAGATCAGCAAGGATTGGAGGCAAACTGGCATCCACCTTAGGCTTTCAGAAGTAAACAAAGAAGAAGGGGAAGGAAACAGGGAACTTTGGCAGGTCCGGGAGCAACTGTGCATCGAGCAGCGGACGTGCAGCTAGTCTAAGTTCGGGGATGCCTACATAATGTCTCTCTTTGCAAGTGCTGCTCAGATAAACCACCGGGTCCCTGAGGAGCCTCCTCTCTGGTCCCTCCCCTCTGCCCCTGAACACACCTGTAGTGGGCTGGCGGGGGGCTCAGCCTTTTTGCTGAGGAGCGCCCTCTGCAGGGCTTCGTTCTCCACCTGGATGGCCCTGAGCACGGCTGAGGCGTCTTCCTCTCGGTCCTCAGCCTCGTGCACGGGTTTTCGGGTGGCTGAGAGGGGTCTCTCTCGGCGGCTTCCGGGTCCTGCGGGTGGGAAACAGGGGGTGCACCTTTAGATTGCATTTTTGGAGTGTAGCTCAAAATCTATTAGCCCCGAATTGAGGAACATTCTATAAAACAACTGGCCTGTACTCTCCAAAAATGTCAAGGTCATGCCAGACAAAGAAAAAAAAAAAGCCTGGAGAGGGATTCCAAATTAAAGGAGACTGGGCAGCCATGGCAACAGAATGCGGGGGTCGGTCCTGTCGCTGGATCCTGGGCAGGGGTGGGGGTGGGGACACTGGAGTGCGGGACGTTACTGTGGCAAGTGCAGAAACCCCAATATAGTGTGTGGTGTAGATAATAGTATTGTAGTAATGTTAACTCTCCTGAATTTCCTAAGTGTGCTGTGCTAATGGAAAATGAACGCACCACTCTTAGGAGATACACACTGCAGTGTTCAGGGGTAAAGGGGGAATGATGTCTGCAACTTAATCTCAAATGGTTAAAACACACACACACACACACACAGTACAAATATAAATCAGTGGGAACAAGGGGCACCTGACCGTCTCAGTCGGTTGAGCATGAGACTCTTGATCTTGGGGTCGTGAGTTCAAGCCCCACGTTGGGCCTGGAGCTTACTTAAAAAAAAAAAAATCAATCAATCACTCAATCAATCAACTGGGACAAAATATTAACAGCCAGTGAGTGGGGCTGGAGGGTATATGGAGGATCATTTGTACTATCCTTGCAACTTTAAATTTGAAATCGTATCTGACTAAAAAGTTGTAAACAATTAACGCTCTAACAAAGTACCTAAGAGGAATAATACATGCTATCATGGAGACAGATGGTTGCTTGGGAATATTTTACTTTATTTTGGTTTGTTTTTCCACGGGTAACAAGAATTGCAAAGACTTTACATCTCAATTTAAGAAAAAAGCATCGCAATGCTGCAGTCGATTCCAGAAGTTCCAAGGAAGGGACAACTGGTTTTATAAAGTATAAAGTAACATGCAAACAGCACCCAGTAAGACTGGCTGAATAAAATAAATTACGGTACACCCACCCAACAGAGGGCTATGCAGCAGAAAAAGAAAAGCATACTAAACTATCTGCAGATAAAACGAAGTGATGACTTGAATTTGCTTCTTAATCATCTGGGCAGTGGGTGGGGATGTAGATGAAACGACATTGGCCATCAATTCACGATTGCCAAGGCCAGGTAATGGACACATGGGGGTCACTATAACAACCTCTCAATTACTTATGTGTGGATTCTTTCAATATTAGAAAAAAAAAAAAACAACTCCATTTAAAAATAGAACGGCTCAAAATGTTTCTATTGGAATGCTTAAAGAGGCTTTTACCTATTGACTTTCATCCCCTCGGCAAATATTTCTGGAGTGCCACTGTGCCAGGTTCTGTCCTCGGCACTGGGGACCCAGCGGTGACGAGACAGATCGAGAACCCCACCCTTGTAAAGTAGGACAAACAGCCGGGGGAATAATAAACAAAATAGAGTGTTAGATGTCAGAACATGTTCTGGAAGAACAGAGTGGGGCTGCAGGGTGATGCTATGCTCCGGGCACTGGCGCGGTGAGACCCGTGGGTGTTGTGTTCACAGAACAGCCAGGTGCTGCGGGCAGCAGGGCACACAGGTTGAGGGGGCTTGAGTATGGGGGCGGGGGGAGGGCCGGGTCACTCAGAGCTGTGGAGGTCACCGCGAGGCCGTTACTCTGAGTGAAATGGGGAGCCACTGTAGGCTCTAGAGCAGGGGAGGACTTGACCTGACTTAGGTGCTGAGTCGGGGACCGAATGAAGGGAGGTGGAGGTGAGAGCCGGGAGACTAGGTTTCCAGAAGTTTCTAGCTGCAGATAGAGCCCGTGGGGCGTCCTGACAATGTGGATGTGGCTGGGAGACAGGACGGGTTGAGCTGCGAGGGCTGTGGGTGGTACAGGTTTGGGAGCAGAGAGCAGGGGCTCAAGTTAGGACAGACTGGGTCCAAGATGTGATTCGGGCATCCCAGTGGGGCCATCGAGTCACATGTACACACTCGAGTCTTGAGTTTGGGAGAAGGTCTGCTCTGGAGATGTGAATTCAGCAGAAGCAACTGGATTGTATCATGTAGCAGTAATGTCAAAGATCGCCACTGAAGCTGGCCTCTAACAAACTGGGAATTCACAGGTGGCCTCTTAGGATCTATACAACAGCATCCTTTGAATACCGAGTACTTAAGTCCATCCATCCACATTGAGTACTGGAGATTCCTTGCAGCACTTGACCCTTCCACTATGCTGTGTTAGAGTGTTGCATCTGAAGGACTGTTCTAGCAGCAACATCCCGAATGGCATTGGGAGGAGAGGAAAGGAAACATAGCAGCTCCACCAGGTTGGCTTCCAGTATGGCCGGGCACTGGGCTGATGGGAAACCTTGGGTTTTTTATGGGAAAGCTAAACTAAAATGAGGGGGTATCAGTTTCTCCCAGACACCCAGGGAGTGGCTGTGAATTTGAATGCCCCGGGCCAGGGGCCAGAGCCCAGCTCCGGCCAACACCTGCCATATAAGGCTACACTCTCAGTATTGTCATTTTTTTTTCTAAGAAAAGCTAGAATCTGAAATCTATGTGAAATCCCCTGAATTTTATTTGTTCATGGACATATTCTGGTTTTTAAGAAACCTTACAGGGGCGCCTGGGTGGCTCAGTTGGTTAAGCGACTGCCTTCGGCTCAGGTCATGATCCTGGAGTCCTGGGATCGAGTCCCGCATCGGGCTTCCTGCTCGGCAGGGAGTCTGCTTCTCCCTCTGACCTTTCCCCCTCTCATGTTCTCTCTCTCATTCTCTCTCTCTCGCTCTCGCTCTCAAATAAATAAAATCTTTAAAAAAAAAAAAAAAGAAAAGAAACCTTACAAAGGCTAAGAGAGCCCGAAGGGCCGGCCTCCCCCAAGGTCACGACAAGTCCAAGCCACTCTCCCAGGAGGGTCAAGGGCACCCAAAGGAACCTTGCATGCCTGCGGATAGCTGGCAAGTGGGTTATGTACTGTCTCTTGTCATTGCCCCAGTGCTGCTCCTAGGGACAGAAAGGTAAGGAGCTGCTGGAAAAGTGACCCAGGATTCTGCTCATCCCCAGTCAAGGCCACTTTATAGTCTTCCTTGTTGGCCCTTCTTATCAGGGACTTGGTCTGCTCTGCAACGGGGCAGGGGGAGGGGAGAGGGAATGAGAAGGTAAAACAAATACCCAAACAGAGCAGAAAGGAGGATTGGAAGCAGCTCAGCTTAACAGGCTGATGAGGGCAGGGATCCTTATTGGTGTGGAAATGCGGGTGAGTAAAAGGGATGCAGAGGGCCATAACGGGCTCAGGTCCTGGGAGTGGCTGGGGGGACAGGGACAGGGAGGAGGAGTGAAAAGAAGCTAAAGGACCTGGTCTTAAGCTACACTGAAGCTGGAACAGAAAAATCCACACCCTTGCCCCAAGGGTGGCTGAAGCTGAAATGGGTTCCCAGCAAGGCAAAGGTATTTTTTTTTTTTAAAGACTTTATTTATTTATTTATTTGACAGAGAGAGACACAGCGAGAGAGGGAACACAAGCAGGGGGAGGGGGAGAGGGAGAAGCAAGCCTCCCACAGAGCAGGGAGCCTGACGCGGAGCTCGATCCTAGGACCCTGGGATCATGACCTGAGCCGAAGGCAGACACTCAACGACTGAGCCACCCAGGCGCCCCAAGGCAAAGGTATTAATGACACAAGCTCTCAACCTTCACTAGGCTGTGGAATGACATGCCCCCTGCCTCACAGACCTCACAGTCACGGGGCAGATAGACGGGGATCAGGCAGGTGCACATTGGATCTACCGGCAGGTGGAGACAAGCACTACAAGAAACAAAGCAGGGTGAAGGCCAGAGACGACGCAGGGAAAGGGACACTCTTTGAGACACTTGGTTAGGGAAGGTGACATCTGAGTGGAGACCTGAAGGCAGTGAACCCTGTGAATACCCACATGGGGAGGCTGTTCCCGGCCAAGGGAACAGCAGGTGCCAAGGCCCTGAGGTGGGTGGGGCTTGGCAGATGAGGAATGGCAGGGCAGGCTGGAGTGGGCAGGAGGGTGGAGAGGTCTTGGGCTCCATTCTCGTGTGTTCTCGAGGCCACGTCGGCCCAACAGGCCTCATGCTACCACCCTGGCACCTGGCATGATGATTTCTGTCCAAGGGATGTACAGAAAATGATTTCCACCTCAAACCTTGTCAGTTTCGGGTTTTGTGAATTTCACTAACACATACCGTTTCCTCCACCAACTGCAGGAAAGCAGAGCTGAAAAATTCAAGGCCCCTTCCGATCCTATAGGTGATTCTATAAATAAGGGACTGAGGTCATGTGTTAAGCTAAACACATGTGCTCACGCTCCGACATGGGAAGGGGCACAAACCCCCGTGTTGATGGAAGGCTCAGGCAGCGCCAGGACCAGCAGAACCCGCAATTCATGAGCTCCTTCTCCATTTTCCACATGGAGCATGTATAGAATCGCTCTAAAAAGAGCTGGGTGGCGAGCCCTTCCTTTTTTACCATCTTTCTGTGGGCAAGTGACCTGCCCTCTGGTGCCTTGGTGGTCTGGGGCTGGGGTGGAACAGGGCACCCGAGACAACCATCTGTCCTTGGTCGCTGCAACTCTAGGGTCACCTCTTCTTTGACAAGGATACTGAGTAAGGCTTTTTCTTTCAGGGGGGTCCTGTTTTGTCTGTAGAAACTCTTCTGCCCCAAGCATCTTTCCCTTGGGAGGGAATGCTCCCCCCGGCAGCATGATCATTGCGAGCTGCCTGTGCCCTTTGAGTCATATTATGCTAAGAAGATGCTTTTAAAAATTAAATCACCCTTTCTCCGAGTGAAGGTCAACCCCACAGCTCCACTGCCACAGCCTTCCCCACCCGCAGCTTCCCAGAAACGTCGGCACACGGTACCTGCGTCCTCCTGAACTACATTTCTGCTGACCAGCTTGTGTTTACTGTGCATTTCCTCACGACACATGAGGCAACCACCTTTTAACTCGTTTGGATGCTCTCATTGCTCACTTGGGCAAGCCTGTTTTGCACCAGCCTGACCACCACATGAGGGTGGATTTATTTTCGTCATACACTTAGAGAATGGCAGATTTATTCACACAATAAATTTGTGCCACCAGCAAGAACCAAACTGCACATTTTAATTTCTCCCACACTGCTCTTTTCTGGTAGAAAACCATCCCTCTTCCGTTAACTTCACTTGCTCTTTGCCTTGCCAAAACTTGCCTTGGCTCTCTCTCCCAGAGAAACAAAGAGCATATCAACACGGGAGATTTGCCGTGGATACGACACACGTCATAGGAGAAGAGAGGAGAGGAAGATGTGGGGCTGCCGGTCGGCTCACCGGCTAGGTGACTTGTTCCCACCTGCTAGCTGGGACTCGAAAAAGCTCACATTCAGAGTCTCAGCAAAATAACCCCTTACCACACATGTGTGGCCTCTGAGGTCACCTGGGAATCCACTGAAAGGGTAGATATTACATCTGAGAACAACACGGGTTTATGGGTTTATGGTGAAGATGGTAAGCCAGCGGCCCACAGGCCAAATCCAGCTGCAGATGTGTGTTGTGTGACTTTTACTTTTTTTTCAAATTGCAAATAGCTAGCAAGCTCTTTTTTTTTTTTTTTTTTAAAGAGGAAATACACCTGAAAATTGGAATTCCTGGGGTCTCCTGAAAAATCATACAATCTGGTAACCCCTGACTGGCATTCCCATGTGGCAATCATAGGCTGGAGCTGGGTAGCGGTGCCCCCGTCAGATGGGTTATAAGCCCTCCGGGTTCCAGAGCGCACCCCCACTCGCTGTGGTCGGGTGCCCATCAGCCTGGAAACTGTGCACTAATTTGTGCGGCAAAAGGCCCAGGGAAACAGCTGCCTTAGCCCTGTTTTGTCCTGAGATGCCCACACTCACCTCTAACATCCAACCGGCAGGTGGGCAGGTAGGGGGCTGCGCCCGGGACAATGGTCTACCCGAGTACTGCAGACATCAATGCATTTCACCACAGTGCAGCCTCCTCAGGCCGCACGCTCCCCATGGTGTAAGAGACCATGACAAGTGTCCGCTCATTCCTCCCCTCCCACCTCGAGGTGTGCTGCTTCTGCACCGTGATGCAAGGGGTGGAGTCTGTCTCTCTGACTGGGCTTGGCCTGGTGCCTTTCTTTGGCCAACAGGTCATCGGATGAGCATGACCAAGCAGAGTCTTTAAAAAGCACTTACACATTGGGGTGTGTCCTCTCTTGCTACCCCGAGACCACCATGTGCTGGCTAGTGAGACCACGTGGAACAGAGATGGTCATCCCAGCCGATGTCTGAGGGCCAAGTGGCCTGCCAGTCATGTGAGTGACTGGCCATCTGAGACCACCCAGGCCAGCTCATGGTGGAGCCACCCAGCCCACCTGCCGACTCCTGAGCGCAAGTAAAAGGTTTGCTGTTTCAAGCCACTGCATTTTGGGGTGGCTTGTTAGGCAGCTGTAAATAGCTGATACACACGGCTCATCAAGGCCTGTGTTTTCTCGTCTCGAGAGCTTCTCTGGGTCTCTCGGTGGGCAGGTGCTGTCTGTAACTCTAATACTCATCTTTTTGCCGCTGGCTCTTCAGCCCAGGAATGCATATGATTTTCAAGGAAGGCAATCAGGGCTCCCCACGGCACCCTGACTAAATGTCTCCACTCTTCCCTTTTGCATAGGACGGTCCTTTGATCCTGTCTCTGGAGAATCTGTAGCAACATGTCCAGCCTGCTTAATTTATGAGCTGAATAACAGTTGCTTCTGACTTCGCTGTAGCAGCGTCCACCTGCACAGCACCCATGTCTTCCTTCAGGGCACTGGCCCCTCCCCACTCTTCTCAGGCTACAGAGTTTGGACAGATCTGACCCCACTCCTGGCCCAGACTGGGGCAAGGAGAGAACTGCCTCTCCCTGACCACGGAGATTAGAGATCCGTTCAGGCGAGAGCTGTTTCTTGGGCTCTGCTGGAATTATTAGGAAAGGAGCAGTCCCTTTCCCTAAGGTTGCTAAGCCAATAAGAGAGCCTAGAGCCCCTGGGGGCCATCTGTGGGCCATGCCTGAGGCTAGAGATGTGGTTCTCAACGTGTGGTCCCTGGGCCAGCAACATCGGCATCATCGGAACTTGTTAGGTGATTAAAATACTTAGGCTCCGTTCTAGATGCACTGAATTAGGAACTGGGGCTGTGGCCAAAAATCTGTGTTTTCATTTGCTTTGCAAATAATTCTGATGCACATTCCAAGTTTGAGACCTGCTGGAATAGAGAAGACTAGAGCTAAGTGATGAAGAAACTGGTGATATCATCTGGGCACCTAGATCCCACCATGCCTGAGACCAAATCTATAGTCCTGGACTTCCCAGGTCTGGGAGCAATATGTTTTCCTTTGTTGCTTCAGCCAGTTTGGACTTCTGTCACTTGCTATTAATAACGAACACTGATTAACTATGTTATAAGACTCTGGACTTTGGCAGAATGGTCTTTCTGCACTGAATGGGAAGTGGTAAACTTGCTAATTTAAAGTAGACTCAAATAAGTCAAGAATGTGTGTTGCAATCTTGGGTAGTGACTGAAAGAATAATAAAAGGATGTATAGCTAACAAGCTAATAGAAAGGGAAAAGAGGAACAACGGAAAGTAATCAGTTCAAAAGAGGGCAACAAAGGAGAGAAAGAGGAACATAAAACAGGCAGAACTAATAAAAAGCAAACAATACAATAGTAGATTTAAACTCAAGTATATCAGCAATTACATTAAATGTAAATGGACTAAATGTGCCCATTAAAACATGTAGATTGTTAGAGGATAAAAATAAAATCCAATTACATGCTGCTTATGAGAGACAAACCTCAACGTAAGGAAGGAGAAAGTTTGAAAGCAAAAGGACAAAGGAAGACACACCATGTAAACAGTGACCAGAAAAAAAAGCTGGTGGGCTTTAGGGCAAAGGGAGCATCACTAGACTGAACAGGAGACAATGTGGTGATAAAAGGTTCCATTCACCGGGAAGATATAAGGAGGCTCATTTGCGCATGCCTCTCAAAACACAGCCCCCTACAAATATAAAGCATGTAAGCAGTCCAGATTTTGCCTGGAAAGGGTGAGCTGATTTGATTCCACTGTCTTCTCGGGAAGTGTCAGGTTCCTCATGCCTCTGGGGGTGTGAACATCCAGTGTCCTTAGCATAATGCCAATGTCTAAAAACACACATTTTCATTGCAGCCCAGACCCAAAATGAAGCCACCTGCTTCATCTGGTGCTTGGCCAAGAAGCTGGGATTGTTCCTGCCCTGGAGAGACAATGCTCTGGGGCTTACTAAAGATGATAGGTCCAGGGCGCCTAGGTGGCTCAGATGGTTAAGCGTCTGCCTTCGGCTCAGGTCATGATCTCAGGGTCCTGGGATCGAGTCCCGCATCGGGTTCCCTGCTCAGTGCAGAGCCT